AATTGAAATTTGAAAAGACATAATAGGTAGTAATTTGTCTGAATTGATTTTTATTCATTGTTTGAAGCATGTAATCATATTAGCCTGTCATATGAACCTTAAGACATATTTATTAGTTTTGAATCATATTAGTTACATCAGCATTTTATTATTTACATTGCATGATATAATAATGAGAATTTGGAGCTCATACTTGAAGTATAAAATGGTAGTTTGATTTCATTTTCAAATTGAGGGGAACAAACAACAGACCCTTCACATTAACAGGTTTCTCGGTTGCGGAAGTCATCATGGTTGGGTAAACTTAGAGCACAGTACAACAAATAATGTTTTTTACAATCCTATTTGCTGAAATAACAGTCTTGTGAAAAGGGTCCATATGGTGCAAACTGTGATATTCATATGGCCCCAAAAAGTAAACTAAAATGAGATGAAATACAGCTCATATTAATATAACATAATATGCGTATAAAATACATATTGTAAATATAAATTGTAATGTCTGTAGGGTATTTTTTAAATCCTTGGTTTTTATTCAAAGGTCTGCAGTTGTTATTGTCAAGACAAAAAATACAATGCAATAAAACACAAGAGATAAAAGTAGCCAATCAATCAAATAACACAAAGCACGTAGTAAATTGTGAACTACAGGTTTATTGCCAGTGTATTGACCATGATTTAACGTAGAACCTTTAGAGATTTGCCAACATAGGCTCATTCTGAAAACGTAGTCCTATATGCATTACGTTTCTTGAGATTGCAAATTATGTAGTCAGTACGTATGGCTGCATTTCATTTTTAAAATGAACGCTATGGGGCGGAATGATGCCATTTCTTTTCGCGCTTACCACCTGACCGCTTACCTCCATGTGGATGGCTTTCCTGCTGTTACTAGTTTGTTCAGTTAGCTCACCATGTTCGTTGGTGGATATGAGATGTAGAGCGCACAAACTGTGCCCAGGCCCATTTCCTGGATCATTTGAGAAGTGTGAGTGCTCTGAACCAGGCTCATACACAATTCAGTTGGCCTGCCCTGGCCCAGTTGGTAGAGGTGAGTGCGGTTCACTTGGGCTTTGGCGTGGTACGCTTGTAGTGTGCGTGCAAAGCACGCCTGAGCCTGAAACTAAAGACGAGATGTCACTTTTAGGAGACTGCTTCATATTTATTTATTAATCATTCTTACTGTTCAATAAATGCAAACTGTCATAGATTATTGAAGACGCAAACCCCTCACTGCATGACAGCTGCACCTTTAGCAAACCTTCTCATTCCTGAAGCACGAGGACTTTATTGTTTATGAGCGTCAAAAATGACTGATCTGTTCAGCGAAATATTTAACTGCGTGTCACTGCATCCAAAAAACGACTAAAACTATATATCTAAAGAAATCTCGCTGTGCTGAGCGAGAGTGCTTATACTGAACAGCGCATCATCATTGACGTAGGCGTGCTCAGACTTGAAGGCAATGTAAGTGCGGACCGTCGGTGGAGACAGGAGAGGGGACAAGCGTGCTTCGGCCCGGTTCAAAGCAACTGTACATAATGTGACTATGCCCGTATAGAGGAGCTGACCACAATGACAGGGTTTGAGTCCAGTGAAGAACTCTTCCAGAAAGCGGGTAAAACAGAAACAGAAGCCAAAAATAAAAATAAACAAGTAAATAACAGGGTGAGAATGTGGTAAAATCTGAAAATGTGGTAAAATCAGACATGGACTTTCTTTTTCTGAATTGCTTTTGAAAATTGTGGGTTGGGTTTTTGGGAAAGGAGTAGGCAGGTCAATCAATACAATTGGTTCGTTTTAGGGAAGGAGGAGCATAGGACGCGAAAACAAAAACTGCAAAAAAAACATAGCTCCTGGGACGTAGTTGGAGGTCTCCAGAAATGTATATAGAGGTACTTTTTCTGAATGAGCCTGGGTTGAGCATTGCATATCAAAAGCTGCATATCATATGAAGCTCTAAGTAGTTTTTTTAAATCTCAGCTTATTTCTGCTGTTGCTAACCAACTAAACCCATTTGGTTGGAAAAAAATATTAGTGTACTAGAGATAGAATAATATTGACACTTTGAATAAAACTTTGCTCTAGCAGATGCTTCAATATGTCTAGAGATGACATCATCCCCCAGTATCTCTCCAGTCTGTCGTCGCAGTGTTCCTCTCCATCATATTCTGTTTTTCACCCCTCCTCAGATCTTTTATTCTCTCTCTTCTGCTCTCCACCTCTCTGTGCAGTTTTATGTATGACATTAGAGCAGAGAGAACTAACGTTATTTAGCTCTCTGATTTAAAGCACACGAGTCACACTAAATGTCTAGGGATAAATCTGATCTCAGTCATTATTAATGGGAGAACGTCTGTGTCTGTAATTCTGTGTTTGCGGTTTAGCATTTAGCTAGTCACTGAGCACAAAAGAATTTCAGCCAGACACTGTGCCGGTTATTTATTATGACAGTGTTGGAAATGCCTATAAACAAAATCTGCTGAAAAGACCAGCTCAAATCAGCAGGAATTTCCCTGTTAGTTTGGAGTTGGTTTAGCTAGTTGAGCAACACAGTCCATTTTTCTAATATTAGATGTCTTGCTGGTTTAGCTAATGATTATTATTTTACCAGTTTTGTTGAAAGACATGTTAGGTGTAGATGGCTTATAAATCATTCTTTTTATTTATTAATAGTGCAGTATGTAAGTTTGACACCCAGTGGTTGAACTTGGTATTGCACACCTGGTTCAAAACACATGCAAGTGCAAGTTGCCAGATTGATTAGCAACCTGTCAATAAATAAAATAAACCTAAAGGCATATTTAAGGCTGATTTAAACTTTGTTCTAAATAAATGCACCGACGTTATAGAAGGAATATTTTCCATACTAAAAGGAGTTTTTGTTCTAACCAACATCTGAAATGTATCATTTTGAAAAGGTTTTTATTTCTTGCAGCTGAACTGCAGAAAACTGACAATGATCACCTCAGGTACACCTCATGTGCTTTATTCAGTGTTAAATGCAATTTAACATGACTTTTTCTTTAAAATATACTGAAAGCCAGGCACGTGCACACATAGGGCTCAACCTGTGCAGTGCACATGCCCTTTTTAGTCTTGGATAGAAAGTGCCCTTCCAAAATGATTAAAAGTGCCCCCGCGACGCAACACACCCTTGGTCCCCCACTTCAGTAGGCGCACGACAACACCGCTCTTGAGTACGCGGCGTTCTGATCATCTGTGTTGTCGCGCGCGACAACAACACTCTTTAGTACGCGCGCGACAAATTTACTAATTAATAACCACCTTATGTGCAACTCTGCATCTAATTTTAGAGTCTGCTACTGTCCACCGGAGGTTGCATTTCAGTTATGGGTACATGCCTTAAGAGCCTTTCTGACTGAATGAATCAAATATGCTGTTTTCCAACCAGGCAACCCGGGGTGCTGAAATATAATTGGCTAAACTGGCATTGGGCAGGTTAAAATTACCGAAAACAAAGACAGACGTTCTGGCACATAACACACATTTTCAAAGTAAAATATCTGACTTCATTGTTTGTTTGTTTTTTTGTTTTTGTTTTTTTCAGATAAACAAGAATGTTCATTTGGCATGTTTCTTAAATATCTGCAAATATATCATGATATATTATGATAGTCAAAGATTTACAGCAACATTAAGTATCTTTGTGTTCCTTAGTGTACTCCCTTCTCCCATGCCAATAATGCCAGTTTGAATTCCAGTGGACATACTGTACAGCGTACAGTACAGTATAGTGGATTGGTACCAACCCCTTTGTCCTCCATGTCAGAGAAAAAAGAACTGGCATCAGTTTATTGTCAGGTATTTACAGAGTTGCATCATGCTGTATCTAGTACAGACAGACCTTTATAACTAGTGTTTTAAAGTATGGGTTGCACTTCCAGTTTTGGGGAACTTCTAATCAAACGATCCAAAATCACTTCAATTCATAAAAACGTGCTGGGAGTGAGGTTAGGGGTTATGTAAGTTTGATAGGTGGCAAGCTAGTAGTTTCTGTGCATGGAAAGCTCATTCTTCAACTGCTAACTGATTCACAAATCAGGACAAGTACAACTTGAGGGCTTATCAGCATTCAAAACAGCATGTTTGTCAACAGGAAATATTCACAAGAAAGCATTGCAGCCAATGTTGTGTTTTAATTCTACAAGCATATGACTAGAATAACGAACGAGAGCTGGCATATTTCACCCACACATGCAACCCACACACTAATACAGCCACAGAATATCCAATAACTGTCCATGGCAAAGCTCTGGAGATATTCCGGTTAAATATAAGCTTCCCCCAAACCTCTGTTTGATTTTGAGTGATCTCTCACTTTATCCTTCAGCGCAGCCATCACTAAAAATACCACTCTTACCTGAGAAATGCACTACTCATCATCTAAGAGAGAAATGACACTTTTATTTTTGTGTCTTCCACTTAGATGGGTAGAGATTTGGTGGGCCTCTATTACACGGCAGGTGGGGGTCAGACTATGAGGGCTATCGGGAAGAGAAGATGTTGGCAAGCTGGCCTTAAAATGACTGTTGGGTATCAAACACTCTCCGTTCCTCAACAGACACACACAAAGCGAGGTTACGTACACAATACTCACTGTGGTAATGGCAAGAACTCGCTAAAGCCCTGAATCCTGTACTTCCACTCGAATTTCTGACAAGAGTTGACTTGTGTGATTGAATTGTTGTTTTCCTCTTGTTTGATGGTTTCCTCCTAAGTGTTTTTTGATTCTACAGGTCATATCTCAAATGGTGTTTTGAAAACACGAGACCTCTGAAGACTGTCTACTGTGCAGAATACAGAATCAGACAACGCAATAAGTCATTTTGTGTCAGCCAAAGCTTCGCTTTTGTGAATTTCATGGTGCTTTAATGTGGTTCGGGTTTAGATATTGGATAAAAAGGACCTTGACTGCTGACTTCAGAAGTAGAACTGTTGAAAGTAAACTTCGACCTTTTCTCTGGCCTGCTTTACAGGAAGCTACTGGAACGCAGCGTCCTTCAACACGCCATCTTCGTACCTGCACTTTTCCACTTTTCAAGGTGAAACAAGTGCTGATATCTCCTTTTACTTCAAGACCTCCGCTCCCTATGGCGTCTTCCTGGAAAACCTTGGAAACACCGATTTCATCCGTCTGGAACTGAAATGTAAGAACTAGGATTATGTTGTCTTTGTTTTACTCTTCTTTTTATCCTGTCTGTCTGACCTGCTGCTGGTCTTCATCCCATTGTTATGCACTTTTATGCAGATTGTGAAGTTTGAAAAGGGAAAAAGAGCACATAATCAAAATCAGCACACATACAGTTGATGTCAGAATTATTAAACCCCCTGAATTATTAGCTCCCCTGTTTTTTCCCCCAATCTCTGTTTAAGGGAGAGAAGATTTTTTCAACACATTTCTAAACATAATAACTTTTTTATCTTTGTCATGATGACAGTAAATCATATTTAATTGGATATTTTTGAAGACACTTCTATACAGCTTACAATGACATTTAAAGGCTTAACTAGGTTAATTAGGTTAACTAGGAAGGATAGGGTAATTAGGGCCCATTTTCACTGACTGATTTGGTACAGTTCGGTTCCGAAAAAGTGGTACGATACGATTCGCTTCGGTACGCCTTTTGACAGTGGAAACAGCCATCAAAGCGTACCGAACCGAATCGTATCGTATGACTTTTTCGGCACTCTTTCGAAAGGGTACTAAACATGAGAAAGGGTACCAAAGGTGGAGCTAGACGCGCAGCTGAACGCTATTGGTTTACAGAGATACGTCGTTCGAGTGGTTTCGCTTTCTTGCATGCGCTCGCCACGTGTCTATATCTGAAATAACAAACTTCTTGAGCTCATGATAATAATGTGTGCTTGATTATTGATGTGCTTTTGAAACCCGATCCTGTCAGAAACTGACAAACGTGAGAGTGAAGCATGAATCATGTGCTCCTTTTTTCCAGCTTCTCCTTTGTTTTTTCAAGGAGAAGCTGGAAAAAAGGAGCATATTATTTTTTCAGCAAATGTGAACATACTGCCATGTTTAACTATTATCATCACCTTTTGGACTATGATGAACTCATTGTGATGGAATGACTCTCTAACAGAGGCTACATGTGCTGCTGAAGATTAAAGACACAGGTTTGCACTGACTGTGGGCAATATTTTGTGTTGCTTTTTAACCTGAATAAGGACTAAATGTCTGCTGTGTGTAGTTCTTCTGTAGTTGGTAACATATTGGAGACTGTAAGGGGCTGTATGTGTACGTTGCATTAATTTATTTATTTTATATAATTGCAAACGTTACAGTAGGCTATTTCGCCATTCGTCATTAATCTGCAGTTATAATCAACTCATGTTCTTAGAAAAGATAGAAATAAACATTTATATATAGATATTTTTATGTATAAAGCATCTGTTTTGTTAGAAGTGCTTCTCATATGATATGCAAGGACCCATACAGCTTTACTGTGGACATTTTCTTGAGCGAAAATGACGTTGACTGAAACTTTGTTATACATCCCACCCACCAAAAGGGTACCCTTGGTAGTGGAAACGCAAGCCTGATAAAGGTGACCCGTACCGGCCCGAACTGTACAGTACTGTACCAGTCAGTGGAAACGAGACAATACGAGGCCTACACTGAGTCTGCGGTTGCAGAAATCCACAGATCTTCAGCCCATTATTGAGTTGTGTAAATTTATATTTATTCAGTTTTTAAATTAATTTAAGTAATATTACTGACTAATATGAAAACGTTCATATGCTTTACTTACAATAACGTTTGTAAAGTAATAATTTCTGTCTTTTAGTAGATATATGGTAGATACAGTATATCATATCTTGATATATAGACTTGCTTTGTTTACCAAAAAAAATGATCTACAGTAATAGGAGTGAATAGGAGTAATAGGATTTGCAGTGTAAACATTAAATAAATGTAAAAAATTTATATATTTTTTTTGTATAAAGTTTTTAGTTGCGATACACTCAAAATCATTCCACATAAATCCGCAGTTTTTTTTTTACAATATTCTACAAAGAAATGGCAAATAAATGTCCTTAGATTCTGCTTGGCCCTTGTAATTAGGCAAGTTATTGTAGAACAATAGTTTGTTCTGTAGACTATCAAAAATTATATAGCTTAAAGGGGCTAATAATTTTGACCTAAAGTGGTTTTTAAAAAAATAAAAATTGCATTTATTTAGCTGAAATAAAACAAAAAGACTTTCACCAGAAGAAAAAGAATATAATCAGACATACTGTGAAAATTTCCTTGCTTTGTTTAACATCATTTGGCAAATATTGAAAAAAAGATTAAAAAAAATTCAAAGAGGGACTAAAAAATTCTGGCTTCAAATGTCCTCTTTCCTAAAGTCTGCAGGTAGACACACTCATTACAATACATTCACCTCATGTGTGCTGCTAATTGTTCTCTGCTGAATATAAATAGAGGCTTTTGAATAAGGAAACACACTCTGTAATTGCCTATAAGCGTCTATTTACTGATATGTTTGCAGCCTTTTTCTCTCAAGAATGTCTAGATTATACATCAAGGAGCATAACCGAGGATTTGAATTGTTTGCTGGGTAAAAAAAGAAGCATAAGAGGCAAATCTGTTTCATGCAGATTGAGTTTTCAACCCGAGAGCCGAGCTGGCAGGTCTTTCACACTGTTTACAGCACAATAGGCAATACAGAATGCAAAACTGCACCGTTGCGGAGGAATCTTGTGTCGCGTGCAGTGTTTCATGTTTCCTGAAGTGGTTTATTGTTGCTGAACAATTTTTTTGCTCTTTAATGCATTACTCAAATGTCTGTGCAAATCTTTAAATGGAGTATTATGTGCTTCGTCTACTGTTTCTACTGCATTGGTCGATTGTCAATTGTTCCAGTCTGACCTAGTCTTAAAGCCTGCAGTTAGAGGAGAAAAGGACAGATCAGCATTCGCACAATCATTAGCTAATGGCAAAGATTTTATCCATACACAAATATGCATTAAACTGAATTTGAGAGTTGAATGATAAAAACTTTATTGATTTATAGTATATTCGCTTTTTAAGGAACTGCTCTTTTTCTGAACACAGCTGAAAACAAAATTTTCCTCCTGTGATATTTTAAATTCTTTTTTATATAATTCTTCTAGAAAGTCTTATTTCTTTTAGTTTGTCTGTAACAAAAGTATTTTTAACATGTAAAAAGGGCTATGGTCAATATCATTAGCCCCCTTAAGACTTTTTTTGTTTTGATTGCTTACAGAACAACTACTCTTGTCCACTGACTTGCCTATAGTTTTCCAAAATAACCTAGTTAAGCCTTTAAATTGAACTTTAAGCTGAATACTACCTTGAAATGTAGCTATTGTGTTAAGTTGCTGTCATGGCAAAGACCAACAAAATTAGTTATCAGAAATTATTTATTAAAACTATTTTGTGAAAAAAGTTCAACAATTTTTTTTTTACTTGTTAACTTGTATCTTAAACATTGTGGAGATTTACACATTCAATTCTAAATTAAAGTATTAAGATATTGTATTTAATTTAGTTTCCTTTAAGGGGGAAAATAATAAATAAATAAAATAAATTATATTGTTCTTTTAAATCATGTTTGAAATGACCCATTTTACATCACAATTCAGAAATTACACTGTTTATGAATTATCTCACTAAACTTGAATGTTACATTAAAATGTTTTATATTAAAGTATTTATTTATTATTTTGATTGTTTGTTTCTATGATATTTTACAATATTTAAAAGATATTTTATTAGACAGTTTTTCTGCTTGCATTATATTATATTATATTATATTATATTATATTATATTATATTATATTATATTATATTATATTATATTATATTATATTATATTATATTATTGGTTGCCTGGTATAATGCTTCACAGTTTAATGTGTTCTATATGCGTGTCACTTGCCCTGTCTGTTTGTCTCACACACACACACACACACACACACACACACACACACACACACAGAGAGACCATCTCCCCAGGCAGTGCTGTATCTCTCAAGGGTCTTGAAGACACACAGAGAGGGAAGGAAAGATGCTTAGTGGCTCCATTTGTCAAATTCGCACCTCCTGTAGTCTCCATGTCCTCATCTCAGTGGCGAGAGGCGAACCGCAAGGGTTAGACTGAGGCAGAGGACACCACATTCCCTGCTCTGTCATTTACACACATCCCACAATCCATACATAACCCATTATTTTTACACCCTACTGCCTTATCCGTCCTTTGGATGGGGAGGGGCAGCAAATCTTGTTCTCGCCCCACTATTTTTAAATAAAATAGAACAAAAAAAGCTTCAGGTGAGACCGAGCAGAGAGAACAGCGACTCGCTTAGTGCTTTCTTAGAGGCTGGTGACAGCAAAACATCAATCACTTGATGGAGGAGAGCAGGGAGAGACGGCCAGCTGGGCATTATGCATACTGTACATGTAGAAGACTGCAGTGCTGTCTATGGAGGACACACCACAGCCTGTCCTGAGTGATCGTCATGCTGCTAGCTTGGTACAGATTAGGGATGTCAATTTTCACAAATTTCTACACTGTATCTGTTAATTAAAAGGGCTTTTTTTCTATTTTTGTGGTTCACAAGTGTTTTCTCTATATTTACGATTGTGAATTACATTATGGGACCTTAATCTCTGCTCTGTCCAGTTTTGTCCAATTTTGTCCAATTTGGCCACAGCCATGTCACCCCGCAGCCCAAGATAGGTTACTCACTGAAGCTAAGCAGGACTGAGCCTGGTCAGTACCTGGATGGGAGACCACAAGGGAAAACTAGGTTGCTGTAGGAAGTGGTGTTAGTGAGACCAGCACAGGGCGTTCAACCTGCAGTCTGTGTAAGACTTAATGCCCAGTAAAGTGAAGGGGAACTTTCTGAACTAAACTTCCATTTAGCGATGACTTTCGGATGAGACTTTAAACCAGGGTACTGATTATCTGCAGTCATTAAAAATTCCCATGGCACTTCTCGTAAAGAGTAGGGGTGTAACCCAAGTCTCCTGGACAAATTCCCTCCATCAGCCCTTACCCATCATAGCCTCCCTGTCTCTCCAATCCACCAAAACCAAGTGGATGCTGCACACTGGTGGTGGTGTGGAGAGAGCCCCAGCCCCCTGTAAAAGAACCAAAAT